TGTACTTAATTTTAGGCTCGAAATTGTATTGTTCCGATTCTGATGGTCTTCATTAAAAGTGATGCGAATTTTAGCTTTGCAAAGCATTCATGGTGTAAGGTTGGGCTAAAATATAGAGGTAGATAGGCCCAGCAGGTGGATATTCACAACTGGGCCCACCTGAAGCCCAATGTGGGCAGACACTCTTTTAAAATTCCAACAGGGACAAGAGCCCTTGCGTCCTTCTCTGCTGGGCCAAGCTTTGAGCCCAAACGCAGCCCTTTTCAAAGCTGAACTCTTTTTTTTAGATTTAACCCAGTAATGAACACCTAGGCCTAAATCCCTTTCCAATAGAATTAATTTAAAGTTAGCTCTTCTAATTAAATGTAATTTTCCTCTAAAAAAGGGTAATAAGTTGAGGTGCGCCATTCCAAACAAAACCTATAATTCATGACCCTCATAAAATTAGATCAAGAGCTAACACTTGCAGAAAAGATTTGAGGCGTGCCATCTATAAATTAAATCATCCATGGCCCTCACAAATGTTGCAATTAAAAAATGAATCTTCGTAGTTGCTTTAGGCGCATTACGTTAAATTATCATGGCTACGGGTACGATTCCCGTGACGTAGTTGTGATTTGTGATTGCTACAATCCGGGTGTACATTTCATGTGACCCAACTTCAATTTTAAACAATGTTAAATAAAACATGTCGCGAATCGCGGGTGCATTTCATGTAGCGTGGTTTGCGGTGTGTTCCAAAACGGCAAGTGTACGACAATCGTAACTTGTTCAAGAAATAATTCCATAAATCCTAAAAAGAGGTTTAAAATAATTAAAAGCAGTTCTAAATATTTGATAATAGGCCAATTATTAACAGTTTAAGCGACCGTACTCGAACCGCGGAACGCAGGAATGCCTAACACCTTCTCTCGGGTTAACAAAATTCCTTACTTAGAATTTCTGGTTCGCAGGCTTTTAAAATAAAGTCGAAATTTCCTCGATTTGGGATTTTAAAATAAACCGGTGACTTGGGACACCAAATAAACTATTCCAAGTGGCGACTCTGATAAAATTAAATAAAATAATCCCATTTTGAATAATGTCACTGTAATTGGAAAAACTCCCTTATATTACCTTCGGCTGATAAAAAAGGAGGTGTGACAGCTCTGGCGACTTTGCTGGGGATTAGAACCCAAAACTTTTGGTTCAAGGTTCAGAATTCGAGCTTAGAATAACTGTTATACTTGGCTTTATTTATTATCTGATTTTTACATGTTTGAGCCTAATGTGCTAAACGCTGCTTTTTACCGCTTTGATATTGATTGGATTGTGTATAATTGTTACGAAACCCTCTTCTCTCTGAGTCTTCTAAATCATCTAGGAAGTGTGCACTTCATGTAACTTCTTTTCTATTAGAGTCATATCCCAATTTTAGAACGAGGTTCGGACAAGTTCCAAAGCCGGTGAAGCTTCTGTATTCCCGCTACGCTGCCCCCCCCCCGGCTCGAGCTGTCCGCTCGGTTAAGCCAGGTCTAGAACAATACACCCAGGTTTTTAAACCAGTATAACATAGCCTCATGCCGGATCCCTAGTAGGAACGCTTGTTTGCATCTCGTGCATTTGACTTTGGGGACTCAACACAGGGGTTGGGTCCATCTAGGACAGGTGTATCCGAACTCAAAAGACCATCCTGATGCATTCTACTTGCTACTTGTACATTTATTTGCTTCAGATTGCATGTTGACTGGCTTCTAGAATAAAGGAGAAAATTGGAAGAATCAAATTGAGGTGTGAGAGAGATAATTGCCCGTCCTCAGAAATTCTGGTGTCCAAAAAGTACCGAAACTCTGCCGAAATTTTGAAAAAAAAAGAAATTTGCTTCAAGGAAAAGATATTTGTTGTTGTTTTCAATTGCGTCAAAACTGCCAGAACTACGCAAGTTTGATTTCCACCGGATGTGGGATACGTAGGCAATCCTTACCAGGTCCAACTCCCTTTTTGCAAAAATATCCTAAAAAAAATATGAAATGTTGTTGTTTTAGGTAATGACATTCTTGTCTAAATAGCCAAAATGCCCCAAAAGGGTGCCGGAAGGCTGCTTTTGCAAGAATAGCCACCTATGGTCCTTTTTAAAAATTTTGGCCGATTAGCAAACACATCCCTAAAATCTTCTTTCCTGAGGTGCTGAAGGGTCGTATTTGCAAAGGCGTTTTTGTTTTGAATTGCAATTTTGAAAAATTAATAATTTTCTCTTGGGTAAAAATAAATCATGGTCCTTTAACCGATCACTTTAAATAAATGTACAGGATGAGCACTATTACAAATGAACCCTTCATAGTCCTCGAGCAAATCCCATTAGAACTCCATATGTGGTGGAATGACTTAGGGAAAGTCAGCAGAGATACTGTGATAAAAGCTTTGGGCGGTCTCGTTGGTCTTTTGAAAATTAAGCCGAGGTTGGATATAATTGAGGCTTTAACACCTTTTTGGGACCGGCCGCATAATGTGTTCCATTTTTCTGATTTTGAGCTAACCCCTACGCTTGAGGAAATAGCGGGCTATGCCAGTCTTAGTGGGAATCTCAGAAGTCCGTACCCAGTGGCACCAATAGCGGTAAATCCTCATAAGTTTCTGGACCTTCTGAGTATCAGTCGGGAAGTTAAAGATGGAAATTTAGCCGAGGGATTTTGCACATTCTATTTCTTGTACCAACGTTAAGGGGATCCCCATGGTTTTGAGGCTCCAGATACTGGTCTAACTCATTCAGGGAACAAAGATAAATGGGAAGCACGTCGGGGACTGGCTTTTATAGTGGCATTCTTGGGTATCTTAATCTGCCCAAGAAAGGATGGAAATATAGAGTTAGGGCTTGTGGGAATGGCCGACTTCATGAAATAAAAGGCTAATGGCATCATTGTACCAATGATCCTAGCAGAGATTTATCGAGCTCTAACTGTGTGCCGAGAAGGGGGAAAATATTTTGAGGGTTGCAACATGCTTCTACAACTTTGGATGGAAGAACACCTTTGACATCATCCGGGGTACATGAACTATGGTATGACCGGTCTTAGCTGCATTGAAGAACATGAAAACCGGGTGATGGGTCATGAGTTTCCGGAAGGTACGGAGGCATGGTTCGCACATTTGAGTTCCTTGACTTCAAGCAAAATTGAGTGGACATTCGGTTGGCTCCCGGTCACTGAAGTCAATTACATGTTGGTCGAGGTGTGTTTTCTTCTTAATGGGTCTCCGGAGCATTCAGCCATACGCTCCACACAGGGTTCTGCGCCAGCTAGGCAGGTACCATACTATCCCACAAGATTAAGATCTTAGTCGACAGGTCATCGAACTAGGTCCAAAAACTGTATTCCTGGAAGAAAAGGTGCGCCAAATTTTGCATCAGTGTAGGTTCCTGGAGCCAAAGACTCGAGTACGGGATCTGTCCAAAGGTGAGTTAGAGCCTAGTTACACGACCTGGTATGGTAAAAGGTTTCAAGTCCATCGAGAGCCCGAGCGGCCTGCCAAAAGGCCCCATGTCCAACAATTCACTGATGGGGTACAAGAGCAATGGGATTGGTTGGCAAAAAAGACAAGCTACAGAGCCACAATAAGCAAATTGGAGGGGTAGATCCGAGATCTTAAATTTGACAATAGTGTACAGGCTGCTGCTGATGAAGGGAAGAAGAAGAAGTTGGCTCAAGAAAACAAAGCCCTTCGAGCCCAGATCCAAAAAAATAAAGATAGCAGCTGAGAATCAGGAAAGGAGTCGAACGGACGAAAGACTCATAAATGGTCTTAGGAGGAAAATATTTGAGTACAAGGATGATTTGGAAAAATCCGGGGGAAGTCTGGCAAGAGCCCGGGCACAGTTGACAAAGAACGCAGAGGGACGGGCAGAGTTTGTCCGGTAATTGAAAAGGATATATGAGGGGGAAGTCACAAACTTGAAGAAAAAGCTAACTACCCTCAAGAATGAGATGGCCAAACAAGCAAGAGCTTTAAGGCAGAGAGGGAACATTGTTATGCATTAATGTCTCAGCTAGAGGAAGATATGCAATAGCTGCAGGGTCAAAGCTATCATGACCACCAAGTGCTAGAAGCTAGGTCTCAACAAATCGGACGTTTTCTCCAAGAGAAAGGCATCATCAGGGAAAAGGTTAGAGCAATTGCTGACTACATCGTCATGAAATGCCACGAATGTGAAGACATGACCGAAGCCACATTTTTCTACGCAGTGATGACCATTGTTCGCCAAATAATGAATGACCTGGATCGTCTCCAAGGAGATCTTGCACATAGGCCTGTGGCGAGACCGACTGATGTCTCGCGGGCCCCTGGATCAGTTCTGGAAGCACTTATGTACTCTTGATTTTCATTTCGAGTCTGTATTTCAGTTTTTTAGTTCTAGAGTCTATTTCGAGTCTGTTTTTAGTTTTTCAATTCCTAGAAAGGTGTGATGGAGTCTTTGTAACAGAGAAAATTGGAAGTCTTTATTTTTTAATGAAAATTTTGAAAAGAAAAAAAACCAAAAATTGTTTCTTTCTTTTATTTCCGCATTTATTCCTTGAACTATGTGATGATCTGATTCACGCAGTGCCGTGATACGTAGGCAATCCCAATCCGATCCGGTCATAGTTTTAAATAATTCAAATAAAAGAAAGAAAGAAAACCAAGAAAAAGAGAGAAAAAGAAAAGAAAAAGAGAGAAAACAAGAAAAAGAGAGAAAATAGTGATAAAGTGCAAAAGAGAGCAAAAGCTGAAAAGCGCCGAAAGAAAAGAAAGATTGGGGAGATAAACAAAAAGCCGGGATGAGACACGCAACCGTTGCAAAACATGTAGAAACACATTTAACCGTATAGGTGCATCACAGCCCCAATAAGTGATTCCATGTTTGTTAATTGTCTCAAACTAATCGGTTTGTTGTGTTTGCTATTGAGTAGGTTCTGTCTTAAGGTGGTTGGTTTTGTGGTAACCTGGCTTCGCACCCTTACTTTACAAGATCCAAGGGAAATGTCGAAATGTCGTCAGAGAGTTATCTACCAACAATTCCTATCCCGGAGGATAGCCCGATATTGGCCATCCCAACATCAGAGTCAACGGCTGCTGAGGAAAATAGGGTACTGCGTCTCCGCATGTTGGAAATATGGGACGCCTGGTCAAACGGTAGAGAGCCGCCGAGTGCAATACCTGGCTTCTCCGAGCTACTTCCCAGGGCAAGTGGAACTTCCAACATCCCAATAAATTACCCAAACACCCCACTCGGATATCCTACCATCTCAGCCCACTTTACCGGAACGCCTTCTGAGGTTCTCCCCAGGCACTGATTTTGGGAGCGGCCTCCAAAATATTCACCGCACCACCATCCTCGGCCATGGCACAACCCACTTTGCCCAGCCCAAGCTTTGATCCATCATCTTTTAGTTTTCAAGTACCATCCTTTCCACTAGACACTACCCATTTTACCACCAACTCTTACCCTTAACAACCCCGGTATGAGTTTATCGCGGGACAAGAGAAAACTGCAAAGAACCCCGAGCAAGAGGAAATCACTCGGAAAATGAGGAGCATGGAACAAAGCCTCAAGAATATACAAGGTTTAAGTGGCTAGAAGAGCGTATCCTACGCTGATTTGTGTATGTTCCCACATGTTCACTTGCCCATTGGTTTTAAGACCCCCAAGTTCGAAAAGTATGACGGGAACGGGGACCCCATAGCCCACCTCAAGAGGTATTGCAATCAACTGAGAGAAGCAGGCGGAAAGGAAGAGCTTCTAATGGCTTATTTCAAAGAGAGTCTAGTTGGCATTGCATCTGAGTGGTACATGGATCAAGACATATCTCGCTGGCACATATGGGATGATTTGGCTCGAGATTTTGTCAGGCAGTTTCTATACAACATAGACATAGCTCCAGACAGAAATTCCCTGTCAAACCTCAAAAAGAAGTCCTCGGAGAATTTTCGAGAATATGATGTTAAGTGGAACGAACAAGCAGCCAGGGTGAAGCTCCCGATGGATGAGACCGAGATGGTCAGTGTTTTTCTATAAGCCCAAGAGGCTGACCACTTTCAGAATATGATGTCTGCAGTGGGAAAGTCATTTGCTGAGGCTATCAAGATTGGGGAGATGGTCGAGAATGGTCTGAAAACAGGTCGTATATTGAGCCAATCTACTATAAGAGCTACGTCCCAAGAAATCCAAAGCGGGTCAGGAGGTGTAGCAAACAGAAAGAAGAAAGAAGAAGTGGCGATGGCGGCTTCAAGTCTGAGAAACCCCCGTCAACCCAGAAGTTACTTCCCTCCAAACACCCCGCAACATTATTATCCTCCCCAGGATGTGGCTTATGCTATGGCTCCTCAGCCTTACGCGGTGATGAATGCCCAGCCCTACACTCGGCCACAACAACAGTTTAACCAAAATCTAGCTCCACTTCCTATAAATAACCCTCCTCACCAAGCTCCATATAATCCCCGACCCCTACAAAATAATTTCCCATACAATGCCCGTGCCAAGGAGCCACCCAGAAGAAACAACTTCACGCCTATTGGTGAATCATACTCTAGCCTTTTCCCTAAACTGGTCCAAATGGGTTTGTTGCAACCCGTACCCCAAACCAGGCAAAACCTAGAGTAGCCCTCATACCGACACGGTGCTCGATGTGCTTACCATTGAGGAGCGGAAGGGCATGACACCGAAGACTGTTGGACTCTCAAAAGGGCGGTTGAAAATCTCATAGAGCAAAAACGGATATTGTTGAAAGATGAAGAGATCCCTAATGTGACCAATAACCCATTGTCGGCTCACAATAACGGGCCAGTTATTGGGATGATTTGCGAAGATAAGGAGTTTGACCCCGCCCTGAAAGCCATCATTGCCATCGCTGTTGTGGAAAAGAAGCCAAGGGCGGCTGCAAAGCAAGACAAGGGGGAGAAGAAGAGTAAATCCACCCCTCAAAGTGCAGAAAAGACAGTGGAAACCAAAACAGGGGCAGTACCCCCTAAAGATGCCATTCTTTATGTTTCCCGGGCTCACAGGAAAGAACAATTGACATTGAGTCCTCCAAAAAGGTTCGAGTGGAACAAGGGACCTAAGATGTATGTACCCAAAGGGACTTATGTGGCACGGGGGCCGGTAATTTCACCAAGGCTAAATGAGCCCGTGGTTATCGCCCGCGCACCACAGAAGCCCACGAAGGACCCCACTGCCATCCCATGGAATTACAACAAAGTGGTAGTGACATACAAGGGAAAAGAGGTCATAGGGGAAGCAAATGAAACTAACCCAACCGAGAAATACCTCAACTTGGAGGATTTCAACAAAGCCAAAAAGAAGCGTGTCCCGCTCAAGAAGCCCGTCAGTGCTGAAGAGGCCGAGGAATTCTTCCGAAAAATGAAAACTGCGGACTACGATGTAATTGACCAACTCCGAAAGTCTCCCTCTCAGGTCTCGCTCTTGTCTCTATTGGTAAGCTCGACTAAGCATCAGAAAGTGTTGATAAAGACCCTCAATGAAGCTTATGTTCCAATTAAAACCACTTTTGAACAACTAGAAAGGATGGTGGACGAAGTCAACCAGATTTCTTTTAGCAAGAATGATTTTCCCCTGGAAGGGGCTGCCCACAACAAAGACCTTCATTTGACAGTTAAGTGTGAAGGTTACTATGTGAAAAGAGTCATGCTGGATGGCGGATCTGGGGTTGACATCTGCCCTCTCTCAACTTTGCAAAGAATGGAGATTGGGATTGAGAGAATCAGGCCTGACAATGTTTGTGTGCGTGCCTTTGATGGCATCAAGAGAGACACAATAGGAGAGATCGTTTTGATTTTGAATATCGGTCCTGTAGATTTCGAGGTGAGATTTCAGGTCCTGGACATAGACAATTCTTATAATTTTCTCTTAGGAAGGCCGTTGATCCATGCGGCAGGGGCCATACCTTCTACTCTCCACCAAATGCTGAAATTTGAGCACGATGATCAGGAGATCATGGTCCATGGAGAGGACGAGCAATCAATTTATAGGGACTCGTCAGTCCCATGTCTCAAAGCTAGGGAAGGTAGCGAGCACATAGTCTATCAGGCTTTTGAAATGATTAGGCATAGTTATAAGCCTGGGAAGGTGCTCGGGGAATCGTTGCAAGGTATCAAAGAACCTATCACTCTGGCTGCCAGCGAGAAGTCCTTCGGTGTGGGTTTTCACGCCACAACAGCTGATGTGACATGGGCAAACTGTAAGGCCCCGGAAAATTTTGCTAGGCGATATAGGATTTCGGGGTGCCAGGTAGACTAATTGTAATATTTTATGTGCTTTAAATATGATGCAAATGAACTGGATGTGGTGAATAAGTGTATGAGTCATGTAATAAGTGATGTGAGGTCCAAAGGGAAGCCTAAGTCTAAGCCAAGTTGGAAAATTTCATAATAGGCTAAGATTTCAAATGAATACGCACAAGTCCTCACTTTGGACGATCATATCTACGTGTATATAAGGATTTCTGGGATGCACAACCTATAAAATTAAAGTTCTTTGAGTCTAGTTTCTGACGCATCAAACCGTTTGTCATTTGGAGGTGTATACAGAATGTTATGACCATTTTCGTGTCCCCTGCGTCGCCAGCGCCCTGGGTAGCGCAGGGCGCTCGCCATGGCGCCAGGAATTTTTGAGCTACTGGAATCAGCGCCACAGGCAGCACCCAGCGCCTCCTGTGGTGCCCGAAACATTTTATATACACAATTTCAGGGTTCATTTTTACCCATTTCATCTGGACGAACTTGGGGTTCTTCTTTCACCTCTCAAGACCTTCAACTCCCCCAATCTTCAAGGTAAGCAACCTCCATTAACTTGGTGTGAAATTCCATCATTCCTACACTAGTATTGATGAAATCTTCTCATGAAACACATAGATTTTCAAGAAATTCCTTCAAGAACTCAAATTAGGGTTTTGCAAGATTTCTTCCAAAAGGTAAATCCTACACCTTAGACTTACATATATGGATATATTATGGGAATACGAGTATGGATTAATTGTTGGAACTTGTGGTGTAGTGATTGGAAGCCATAAGTTCCCAATATAAATACATAATTATTGTAGAGATTGAAAGGGTGATTATTTGATATGATTTATTGTTTGGGTGTGAATGGATGGTTATACATATGTTGTTGGAAGTTATAAATTGGTTAGGAATGATGGTGGAATAAATTGTTGGTTAATGGTGATAGTTGGATGAACTAATACTATGGTTATAAGATGAAAAGATTTATACCTACAAGGCGTTTGATAATATACCTAAATGGATTAAGTTATGGAATTTGTTACTAATATTGGCCCTATTGATTGTTGTATTGTAGATTGAAGTTGCTTAAGTGTATTGGATCATTGTAGTATCATTAAGGGGCAAATTTAAGGTATGTATGGCTAACTTTAACTCTTGTAGAATCCCCTTGTTGTGACGAGCATACGGTATGTGTACCTTGTATGAAAATATGTGTATTGATTGTCTTAGTTGATTTCCACACCACCGTGTTATATGTGATTGTGAAAAGTGATTTGATGTGCCTACCTTATTATGTGCAAAGCTTGTAAATGCTTGAGGATGCCGACATGGAAGTATGTGTTAACGAATGAAAGAATGTTAATGTGTCAAAATATGGGAATGTGTATAACGGCTAAAAACCCTACGTGGTAAGTAATGAAAGAGGGTATTGTGAAATAACGTAAATAAGTTGAACGATTACGACAACACCTTGTACATGAATTACTGCCTGGTGACAGTTATGGTGCCTTGGGCCCAAATGTATGAATTGTTGAGATGAACTTGTGTTTCCTTGAAATGATGATTCTTGTGATATATTATTTGTGGTTGTGATTGCAAAAATGTGATTGTCAGGCGGGGTCGGGTTGCGCGCCGCAACACGAAGTAATAAGGTGTGGGTTGTGGTGATAAGGGTAGCCGAGGTAATAAGGGTGGAAAAGTGATCATAGTCACTATTGAAATGAAAATATGTGAAACTCTTGAATTTGGAAATGTTGGAAAGGGAAAAGGAGAGATTGTGAAACTTTTGATTTTGGTTGTTTCTTCCTATGTGCAATGCTTGTTGGTTCTAATACTGTCTCTTATCTGTGTATTGTTTTATTGTACTTGGGATAAAGTTTTTTCATACATACCAGTACAATTCAAATATACTGACGTCCCTTTTGCCGGGGGCACTACATTCTTATGATGATTGTAGGTGGTTCCATAGCAAGTAATTCAGCCCACCGGCAGTAGCACCTCCTCCAATTTCCTTTAGCTGTATTGGTGAGCCCCTTTCCTCTCGGGGCCCTACGTGGCTCATGCCGCTTTTCCTCCCGGAGTCTTATTTTGGTATTTGTGTAAGGTATAGCCGGAGCCTTGTTACCAGCAAGTGTTGTAACACTCTTTTGTATCCTTAGAGGCTCCGTAGATAGGAAAACGTGGGTTATGTACTTATGTATTTTGGGCAATATAACTTGTAGATCACGTAAATTGAGCATGTATATTACTATGACTCGTAATAATGTGTTTAATCATAAATGGATGTTTCACTTGAATAATGAGTATTGAAATCACGGGGTAACATGTGGGATAGGAAAGGCACCCAGGTTCGCTTGACTGGGGCTACCCGGTCGAGCGCCGGTCGCGCCCCTCGGTTTTTGAGCATGACACAAATGAACAAAAGAGCAATGGTTGGGTCTTGCCTCAGGCAATCCCACATCTTTTCAAAATATTCGTCAAGCCCAGATACATAAGGAGGAGGATGAGGCCTTCACGGCCGAGGAAATTGAAGACATATGTGGAGCCATGAGGCAGATGTTGTATGAAACTCACATGGTCCAGCCGGGAGAAGGCTCGAGCACCGCTGAGGTGTAACATATAGGGCCCAATGCCTAGCTGCAAAACTAGAAGCCTACTCCGTTCCTAGTCAGGCGGGAATCCCGGTAGTCCAGTCTTGCCACCTTTTCTACATTCCGAGTTATTCCAGGGTGTAACTCGAATGTTTCTTTTAGTTTATCGTCTTTAAAATTCCAATGTAAACCCTGCTATCTTCAAATTCTATGAAATGAAATCAATATTTCATCGTCTATGAATCTCTTTCTTTATTCTTTCTGATTTTGTTACTTTTCTTATTTCTTCTTTCAGTTCTAATAATGCGGACTTAAATAACATGACATGCTTGTAAACTTCATGCCCAGGCCCTAACACGCTGTCTAATTGTGAAATAATGAATCAAGAACCCGAATACGATGAAGATGAGGCTTTTAGGGAAATAAACCGAGAATTGGAACAATTCGAGAATAAGCCTAAGCCAAATTTAAATAAAATTGAGCCAGTTAATTTGGGTAGCCCAGAAGAGGTCCAAGAAACCATGATAAGCATTTACACGGATGAAAGAACTAGGGATGCACTGATCCAACTTTTGTTCCAATTCAAAGATGTGTTTGCTTGGTCCTACGATGATATGCCAGGATTAAGTGTTGATTTAGTGGTACACAAATTGCCAACTTACCCCGATTGTCCCCCTGTCCAGCAAAAATAGAGAAAGTTCAAAACTGACATCTGTGACAAGATCAAAGAAGAGGTCACCAAACAGTTAAAAGCGAGTGTGATCCGAGTGGTCCGATACCCCACATGGCTAGCTAATATGGTCCCAGCAGCAAAGAAAGATGGGAAAACCCGAGTGTGTGTTGATTATCGAGATCTGAACAAAGCAAGTCACAAGGACAACTTCCCTTTGCCAAACATCCACATCCTCGTTGACAATTGTGCCAAACATGAGATACAGTATTTTGTGGATTGTTATGCTGGATATCATCAGGTCTTGATGGATGAAGAAGATGCGGAAAAGACAACCTTCACCGCACCCTGGGGCACCTACTGTTACAGGGTCATGCCTTTTGGTTTGAAGAACGCCGGGGTAACTTACATGAGAGCTATGACTGCCATCTTTCATGACATGATGCACCAAGAAATTGAGGTGTATATGGACGATGAGATAATTAAGTCTAGAACGTAGGATGACCATGTTCGGGATCTGAGAAAGTTCTTTGAGCGTCTGCATAAGTATGACTTGAAGTTAAATCCAGCTAAATGTGCATTTGGAGTTCCGTCTGGGAAACTTTTGGGATTTATAGTCAGTCGGAGGGGCATCGAGCTAGATCCAACAAAGATAAAGTCCATTCGGGATTTACCTCCTCCGAGAACCACGAAAGAGGTTATGAGTCTGTTGGGAAGGTTGAATTACATCAGCAGGTTCATTGCCCAGTTGACTTCCACATGTGAGCCCATATTCAAGCTGTTGAAGAAAGATGCAACGATTAAATGAACAGATGAGTGTCAAGAAGCCTTCGACAAAATCAAAGAATATCTGTCGAATCCGCCAGTCATGGTCCCTCCCGAACCTGGGAGGCCTTTGTTTTTGTATTTGACAGTCTTGGAGAATTCCTTCGGATGTGTCCTCGGGCAACATGATGTGACCGGAAAGAAAGAACAGGCAATATACTATTTGAGCAAGAAGTTCACTAGTTATGAAGCCAAATACACTTTGTTGGAAAGGTCTTGTTGCGCCCTAACTTAGGTCGCTCAGAAGCTTAGGCATTACCTGTTAGCCTACACCACCTATCTCATCACCAGGTTGGATCATTTGAAGTACATATTCCAGAAGCCGATGCCCACAGGGAGGTTGGCAAAATGGCAAATCCTGCTTACAGATTTTGACATAGTCTATGTCACCCGCACGGCAATGAAAGCTCAAGCTTTAGCGGATCACCTAGCTGAAAACTCTATTGATGATGAATATCAGCCTTTGAGTACTTACTTTCCGGACGAGGAAGTAAATTCAGTTGAGGTAATCTCAGAAGACACCAATGCTTGGAAAATGTTCTTCGATGGAGCTGTGAATGTAAAAGGTGTCGGGATTGGGGCAATCTTGGTCTCACCCACTGGTCAGCATTATCCAGCCACAGCCAGGCTTCGGTTTTTCTGCACAAACAACACTGCCTAGTATGAAGCTTGCATTATGGGTATGAATATGGCAATCGACCAAGATGTGGAAGAATTGTTAATCATGGGAGATTCAGATCTGATTATCCGACAAGCTCAGGGAGAATGGGAAACTTGGGATGTCAAGCTTATTCTATACAGGCAGCATGTGGAAGATCTTAGCAATCGGTTCAAATCCGTCGAGTTCAGGTACGTTCCTCGGTTACACAATGAGTTAGCCGATGCCCTCACTACTTTGGCCTAGATGTTGCTGTATCCAGGCAATGTCCA